GGCATGGTGGCACATGCCTGTAGTCCCAGCCACTTGGGAGGCTGAGGCAGGAGGATCGCTTGAGCCCAGGAGTTTGAGGTTGCTGTGAGCTAGGATGACACCACGGCACTCTAGCCCAGGCAAAAAGAGTGAGACTCTGTCTCAAAAAAAAAACAATAGCAAATTAATCCTCTCAAATAGAAAGAAAATATTATAGATAATATCAGAAATTAAGAGAATAGAAAAAGACAAATAATAGAATCATATATACCCACAGAGTAGTTCTTTGAAAAGATAAATATATGTAATAACTACTAAATCTACTAAAGCTAAATGTTAAGCATACATTATGATCCAGAAATTCCACTCCTAGGTGTACCCCCAACAGAAAGATGTGCTTATGTTTACCAAAAGACTGGTGCATGAATGTTCGCAACTGCTTGTTCATAATAGCCAGAAATACAAATAACCCAAATGTTCATTAATAGTGAACAAATAAATGGATAAATGATAGATACATAAATGTACTCAGCAATAAATGTTAATCAACTACTGGTACACACAAAAAGATGGATATGTCTCACAAACACTGTGTTGAGAGAAAGAATCCGGACTCAATAGATAGCATATTGTATGTCTCTTTTTAGTCTTACCTTATCCACGATTTTATTTACCCATGATCAAGTGTAGTCCAAAAATTTTAAATGAAAAATTCCAGAAATAAACAATTCATAACTTCAAAATTGTGTGCCGTTCTGAGCAGCATGATGAAATCTCTCACTGACCCACAAGATGTGAATCCTTCCTTTGTCCAGTGGATCCACACTGTAGATGTTCTCCACCCCATTAGGCCACTTAGTGGTCATCTCTGTCATCAGATTGACTCTCATGGTATTGCAGTGCTTGTGTTCAAGTAACCTTTATTTTATTAAATAATGGGCCTAAGGCACAAGAGTAGTGATGCTGGCAATTCAGATATGCCAAAAAGAAGCCATCAAGTCTTTCTTTTAAGTGAAAGTTAAGAAAGTTAAAGTTTCCTTTAAGAAAGTTCTCCACTTCATAAGGAAAGAAAAAAATCGTATGCCGAGTTTGCTAAGATCTATGGTAAACAATCACAATCTGTGAAATTGTGAAGTAGGAAAAAGAAATCCATGCTAGTTTTGCTGTCTCATCTCAAATTACAAAAGTATGGTCACAGCGAGTGATAAGTACCTAGTTAAGATGGAAATGACATCAAATTTGTGCGTAGAAGACATGGACAATATGTTCTGGTTGATGGCAATTGGGTTCATACTATCCTGGGTGATATGGTTTGGATATTTGTCCCCTCCAAATCTCATGCTGAAATTGATCTCCAATATTGAAGGTGGAACTGAAAGGCAGGTGGTTGTGTCGTGGGGGCATAACCCTCATGAATGGCTTGTGGTGCCCTCCCCACAGAAATGACTGAGTTCTCACTCTATTTGTTCATGCAGAGCTGGTTGTTTAAAAGAGCGTGGCACCCCTCCTTGTCTCTCTTACTCCTTCTCAATGCCACATGACACACCTGCTCCTCCTTCGTCTTCCTTGGTTGGAAGTTCACTGAAACCCTCACCAGGAACAGATGCTGACTCCATGCTTCTCATACAGTCTGCAGAACCATGAGCCCAACAAATCTCTTTTCTTTATGAATTACCCTCAGGTATTTCCATTATATAACAATGCAAAATGAACTAAGACATTTGGTTTTAGGTCACCACTGGGGTTCATAGACCCTGAGGATAAAGGGGCATTGTTGTATAAAGTTCAAGAACAGGGAAAGTAATTTTTTGTGTCAGAAGTTAAGATGATTATATTCATGGTGATGAGTGTGACAGGACATAAGTAGGGCATGCAGGGTGTTGGCATTGTTTTATATCTTGATCTGGGCATCTGTTACATTGTGTGGTAAAGTTTTAAAAGGTTGTTCACTGGTACACTTACTATTTGTGCACATTACTGTAAGTTACATTTTAATAAAAAGTGCCTTTATAGAAGTTCAGTAACAGGAAAGCAGTACATTTGATAAGATGCTGCGGCTAGTGAAGAGTTTCTGCACTACTGGAATGTACCAGAGGGACCAGGAAGCTGCATATTGTTCATGTTCATTTTTTAATAACACTGAGCTCTGGGGAATAGCTGATGTAGCAGCTATAGCAGTAGCTTTCTGGAATATTGCAAAAAAAATTTGGAGTAACTGGGACAATAGCCATTTTAGCGGTTGTACTGCCACAAATCTCTCATTTCCTGTGCAGAGGGCAAAAGTTTCTCTTTGAATCACCTTTGAAGCAAGGAGCCACCATTGGGTGAGGAGGGTGGAGGGAGAAAGCAAGGTAACTTCTGGGAGGGGTTGGGTCTGTTCATCCATCCTCTTAGCTTAATTATCACTCTGCTATAGGGGCATTTTCTGACCCCCTAGACTAGGTTAGATTTCTCATTCTCTATGCATTTTTTTTAAAAGAGAAAGGGCCTCACTATGTTGCCCAGGCTGGAGTGCAGTGGCTATTTATAGGCAAGATCCCACTACTGATCAGCATGGGAATTTTGACTGCTCTGTTTCCGACCTGCATTGGTTCACCCCTCCTTAGGCAACCTCGTGGTCCCTCAGCTCCCGGAAGATCACTACATTGATGCTGAACTTAGGGCAGACTCTCGATTGACATAGCAGGCTACAGCCCAGAGCTCCTGGCTTCAAGCAATCCTCTCACCCACCTCAGCCTCCTGAGTAGCTGGGACTACAGGTGTGCTGTTATTTATTACTGTCCCTTTCTGCATGTATATTATACTTCGATGATAAAAAAGACTACTCGACGGGTATTTGTATACACAAGGAGTGCAATGCGCACCACCTGAAGGATGGACATATTTGAAACTCGGACTTGGGGGGCTGGACCAAGGGCAACATACGTAACCTAAACATCTGTACCCCCATAATATGCTGAAATAAAAGAAGAAAAAAAAAAGACTACTGGAGCATCCACAGTCTTTCAGATACTAGGTAAAGAGAATGTGTGTACCTCATTTGAAAATAACACTTTTTAAAATGAGTGAACTCTTGAGAGTGGATTTTGAGATTAGAATTGCTGTTGTTTTTATTTGCCTAACATTCATTTCCTCTGAGAGTAACCTCCTTCTTTTCAATAAATTCTTATTTTCTAAAATAACGTCACTTCGTACTCCATAAATATATACAATTATAATTTGTCAATATTCAATACAATTTTAAAAAGTTAACAAGCAGTAGTTTCTCTTGTAATCAAAATATTGTTAGAGAAGTAGCTTCAACATCTTTTCTCTTCAATTCCTACAAACACCAGGGTATTCTGCTGAAGTGTGCTGACTTCTAACTGAGAATTTATACTTCATTTCTTTTTTTAGCTATATTGACCTTAAAAGCTTTCACAGTTTTAAATATTGGGGAAGTCCTAAAATGACACATTTTTAGTTGTTGGAGTTTCTTTTTTAATCATTCTAGGAGCGGGGACCGTAAAGACTGTGACTTAGATTGCTCAGAGAAACCATAGGCAAAATGCATGACAATGTGGAGAAAGGCTTCACACAAAGCAAACTGCGGGCAAACCCAGGTAAGAAGCTGGGCTGTGTGGAGTCAGTATGAGACCTGGGGTGGGAAGATAGTGATGGGCTCTAGTCTCTACGCAGGGAAAATGCTTAACAAGTAAAGAGTTTTCAAGGATTAGAGGTGGAGTGCTGAAGACCATAACCGGTTTATAATTTGTGTAAAATATGCACGTATGTAAATACACAATCCTAACAATTATGGAGAGGGAATCATTAGAGAAAAATGTAAGAGAATGGAATCAGGTTAAATTTATGATTGAAAATAAAAAGAATTAAATTTACTGAGAAGAACCCTACAAACACTAGGGTGTTACACAGATAAAAGATACTATCATTATTAAGCTAAAAAAACTATCATGGAAACTCATAAGGGAAAAAAATAGAAAAAAAATGGATAAAACACCTTTATAAATCAAAAAAGTAAACAGAGGCCAGGCGCGGTGGCTCACACCTGTAATCCTAGCTCTCGGGGAGGCCGAGGCGAGAGGATTGTTTGAGCTCAGGAGTTCAAGACCAGCCTGAGCAAGAGCGAGACCCCGTCTCTACTAAAAATAGAAAGAAATTAATTGGACAACTAAAAATATATAGAAAAAATTAGCTGGACATGGTGGTGCATGCCTGTAGTCCCAGCTACTCGGGAGGCTGAGGCAGAAGGATTGCTTGAGCCCAAGAGTTTGAGGTTGCTGTGAGCTAGGATGATTCCACGGCACTCTAGCCTGGGCAACACAGTGAGACTCTGTCTCAAAAAAAAAAAAAAAATGTAAACAGAGGTCCAAGTAAGACTTAGTAGGACATTTAAATGGAATTATCTTACATGGGCTGCACCATAAAATGAACAAATATATATATACACATATTATATGTAATATTATGTGTATATATGAGAAGTTTAAAATTAAAAAGTCTGTATTTGAGGCATCATATGATGATTTAGTAAGTGAAAAAAATTGTAATTTCTTTTTCCTCTACAGGGAAAATAAAGGTTTTATAATTTAGGACTTTAAAGGTTTTTTTCTTTCTAGTAAAAGTGGTAGTCAACTTAGAGGGAAGGTAATTCAGAGGAGGAAAATATGCTCTCTAAATGTTTGTTAAATTATTTCATTTATTTCTTCATCCATTTGGTATTTTGAATATTTTATGACCTCTGCTTTAAACAGTACTTTCCCCCCCAGAGGGAGATTTAGACTGTTGATTTCATTTCCTCTTTTACTTTATTTATATATTTTTCAACAACAGATAAATTAGCTAGCTGTCCCCATGCTGGAATGTTTTTTTTCAACACAAGATGTATGATTTATAGTGAGCATTTATGTAAAAAATACATACAACTTCCCACTCATATAAAAGTAATTTTTAAGGTGAGGTACAATAGAATGATAAAACAATCGAAGTATGTGAATGATACCCCCAAAATATTTAAAAAATAGCATTTTTTAACAGCTGCATTTGTCAGATAATCCCATCATCCCTGTCATGTCAGGGATTGCCTTTTCCCATGGAAGTTGAAATTTTCATGGTTTTCATATGCTTAGTAATTTTGGGTTATATTCTGGACATTTTGAATAAATATTTTGTTTTGAGACTCTGGATCTTGTTGAAATTTTTGAATATATTGATTTGTTTTTTGTTTTAGTGTGTAATCACTGTGGTGGGGTGCAGGCATTCTGCAGGCTCTGATTCCACTGTCAGTTCAGTTTTGAAATGTTTTCTCATATTCCTCATATATGTCTTTCCAGTGCACAAACCAGGGCTCAATATGGGGCCTGTGCTATGATCTATTTATTAGTCTATAACATTCTTAGTCTGTTAATTTGGACCAGATCTAGGCATGGACAGCTTGAGGGGCTGGTGAATTCAGGAGTTTATAAGTAACTTTCAGGGGTCCCTTTCAAAAGTTCCTCCCTCTTCACTATTTGACCAGTACTTTATGTATCCCAAGGGTTTCTCTTTTTTGTCCTCTGGCCAGAAATTCCGGACTCCGTTTACCCTCATCTACCATACACTTCTGCAATTGTGGCTTCATTTTTCAGCCCATATGGCAGAGGGAGAGCAAAAAAGAAGAAAAAAAAAGCAAGAGGTTTGGCCCCACTCTCTTGGAATCACAGCTGTACTGGATAGAAAGGAGGATTCCCCTTTCTCAGGGTTTTAGCTGTTGGAAGTTGCGATAGTTTCCACTGCCACTGTCATGAGATTGCCTGGGTTTGAGGCATGTGAGAATGGAGAAGAGGGAGAAAAATGGGATACTTGTTGAGATAGCAGCTCACTTTCTTCTTCCTGAGACCAGGAGTGCTTCTCCTGGGGCTCCCTCTATCTGTGCCTTGATAGATGCTCAATTCCAGGTTTCTGGCTGTATTAAGTTCAGGGCACTGATTCCAGAGGAGGGAAATTTAATCACTGGTTTGATGATACTTTAAATTCTGGTGTTCTTTTTAGATCTGCTGCTAGTATGCCGTGCCTTGCCTTTTGCCCTGCCCTGCCCTCGCCTGCCCTTGCCTTTACTTTCTCTTTTACATTGAAAACTATATTTTTAGAGCAGTTTTAGGTTCACAGCAAAATTGGCAGAAAGGTACAGAGATTTTTATAGACTCCCTGTTGCCACACACACATAATCTCTGCCTTAGTCTGTTTTGTGTTACTATAACAGAATACCTGAGGCTGGATAACTTATAATGAACAGAAATTTATTTGACTCACTGTTCTGGAGGCTGGGAAGTCCAAGACTGAGGGTCCACCTCTGGTGAGAGCCTTTTTGCTCCATCACCCTACGTCAAAATTTGGAAGGTCAAGAGAGCATGAACAAAAGAGAGAGCGAGAGAGGGAGGCAGGGAGACAGGGAGAGGGAGCGTTGAAGTACAAGAGGGGTCACACTTACTTTCATGACAAATCCACTCCACTGACAATGAACCCACTCCCAAGATAAGGACATTAATCCATTGATGAGGGCAGGATACTCATGACTTAATCACTTCTTAAAGGTCTCACCTCTCAACACTGTTGCATGGGGGATTAAGTTTCCAACACATGAACTTTGGGGGACACATTCGAACCAGAGCAGTTTCTCACATTATCAACATTTTTCACCAGTTGTACATTTATTACAATTAATAAACCTACATTGACACATCACGACCGCTCAAAGTCCATAGTTTACATTAGAGTTCATGCTTGGTGTTGCATATTTTATGGGTTTGGATAAATTTATAATGACATGTATCCATCATTATATGGAATAATTTCACTGCCCTAAATATCCTCTCTGTGATAGTATGTAGCCTTTCAGATTAGTTTTTTTCCATTGGTATTACACATTCAAGTTTCCTTCATGTGTTGTGGTTTGACAGCTCATTTTCTTTTAGCTCTGAATAATATTCCATTGTCTGGATGTACAAGTTATTTATTCATTCACCTACTAAAGGACAACTTGTTGTTTTCAAGTTTTGGCAATTATGAATAAAGCTGCTACAAACATCTGTGTGCAGGTTTTTGTGTGGACATAAGTTTTAAATTTTGGGGGCGGGTACATTCCTAGGAGCATAATCACTAGATTGTATGTTAAGAGTATGTTTACTTTTATAAAAAGCTGCCAAAGTGGCTGTAACATTTTGCATTCTTATCAGTAATGCATGAGAGTTCCTGTTGTCCCACATCCTTAACATCCTTTGGTGTTGTTAGTGCTTTGTACTTTGACTATTCTAATAAACCTATAATGATATCTCATTGTTGTTTTAACTTGCAATTTCCCAATAACATATGATGTTGATCATCTTTTCAAATGTTTATTTTCATCTGGATATCTTCTTCGATGAGGTGTCTATTCAAGCTTTTTGTCCATTTTCTAACTGGTTCATTTTTTTCCTTTGAGTTTTAAGAATTCTTCATATATTTGGGATAACAGTCTATTATCAGATGTATCGTTCGCAAATATTTTCTCCCAGTCTGTGGCTTGTCTTCTAATTCTCTTGATAATGTCTTTTGCAGGTCAGAAGTTTTTAATTTTAATAAAGTCCAGCATATCAATTTTTTAATTAATAAATGGATTGTGCCTTTGATGTGTGTCTAAAAAGCCACCACCATACCCAAAGTCATCTAGGTTTTTCTTATGTTATCTTCTGAGTTTTATAGTTTTGGTCTATGATTCATTTTGAGTTATTTTTGGGGAAGATATAAAGTCTGTGTCTAGGTTCATTTATTTGCGTGTGAATGCCCAGTGATTCCACACCATGTGTTGAAAAGGCTATGTTTTTTTTTTCATTGTTTTGCCTTTGCTCCTTTGTCAAAGATCAGTTTACTATATTTATCTGGGTCCATTTCTATTTATTCTGCTACTTTACTTTCTATTCTGTTCAATTAGTCTGTCTGTCTAATCTTTAGCCAATACCACATTGTCTTGATTACTATAGTAAATCTTGAAGTTGGGCAGTATCAGTCCTTCAGCTTTGCTCTCCCTCAGAACTGTGTTGGTTATTCTGTGTCTTTTACCTTTTTATATAAACTTTGGAATATCAATTTGTTGATATTTACAAAATAACGTACTGGGATTTTGATTGTGATTGCATTTAATCTACAGATCAAGCTGGGAAGGACTGATATCTTGGCAATATTGAGTCTTCCTATCCACGAACATGAAATATTTCTCAATTTGTTTAGTTTTTCTTTGATTTGACTCATCAATTTGGTAGTCTTCCACATATAGATCTTGTACATATTTTGTTAGATGTATACCCACGTATTTCATATTTTTGGATGCTAATGTATATGGCATTGTGTATTTAATTCAAATTTCACCTCTTTATTTCTGGTATATAAGAATGTGATTGACTTTTATATATTAACTCTGAGTCCTGGAACCTTACTTTAATTGTATATCAGTTCCCAGAGGTCTTTTTGTCATTACTTTTGGATTTTATGCATAAATAATCATGTCATTTGCAAACAAAGACAATTTTATTTCTTACTTCCTCATCTGTATACCTTTTATTTCCTTTTCTTATCTTACTGCATTATT